ATCGTGTATGTTTCGCCGGTGAATAAATGATTCGCGGGCACACAAAAATGCGGTGAAAGAGACATCACGGGTAAATATATGTCAAACACGTTTATTACGGCAAATATTGCGTGTTTAACCAAGCAAATATGTCACGTGACGGTCGTGCAGATTTTTGGAGGGGAACTGTGCGTTGGGTGTTCCATTTCCTAATAAAAATTGTGGACGAAAAATGCGTAAATACAAGCAAACAGCCACAATGTAAATGTTTTCAAAAATCAGTATAATTATAAGCCAACTGAGAACTATATTCGCATATTCTGACTGTCAGACCTTTAATGTTTAAACGCCTTTCTTTCAAATTTAAACTCGATTCTACTAATATTTTTATGTAATTAAAACTTCGTGATTGAATGAAAACATGAATAGATAAATAATATCCATTACTGAACAAATAAACTCTTGTTTCATTGATTAATAATATGATGTCATGAATATATTGGCCGAATGGGGCAATGCTGAATGAGACAATGCCGAATGGGACGATTCGAAAAAAAGTATTAAGTAAATTCTTATCATTTTAAGTGTTTTCACCAGACAAAGCAAGAGATATTATTCAGAGTATCTCGTAAACTACATCGTCAGATAATTCTAAATGAGTGGCATACTTAGTAAACAGTTGGTTTTCACTAAAAAAGATTCATCTACGAATTTCACAATTTGTTGTACCTTCAGGTTGATCGATAATTTCACATTTGTCGAGCAGATACTTTGATCGTGTAAACACACATGAATATCCAAACAAATACAAAATGAAATGTATGTTAGTGATTTACCCTTCGCCTGTCTGGCTCAAGGCAACCGATGCTATGGTTAGAGAATGTTTAGAACACATTTTCGTGACCTTACAGAAGGAAAAGAAACTTGTAAAAGCCCTAGTCATCTAACGGTATTCACAAGTGTTAATTATTTATTTATGCGCCAATGTTAATTTGTGTAATGTATATTTGAATAGACGTGAAAGAATGATAACAAATCAGAGTTTTATGACGCACACTCCATTTCACTTTACATTCACATTCTTTTCGTACATTTGTATCCGTATTGAAAATTTGTATCTTTGTAGTCTTATAGTACGTAGTGACAAGTTAATAATGATTAATTAAATTAAAAAATAAAAACTTTACCAACATAGTTTCAGAAAGTGATTTCCACATCAGTTTCCTAGCATCAATTTATATGTTTAATAATTGGGCTATTCTGAAAACTGTGTAGCATTTATTTTCTTCTTCAATGTTGCATGTTCGTTCACCGTATCTCATTCACTTGGTCCTATTTTTGAAGAAGTGACGTGTTTCCACAGGGGCAACGCCCTCTGGCTTTCGGTGTTACACCATTTAAGAGTCCCCAATTACTTAACGGAGAAGGATGTGCCGCTTGACAAAGCAAAATATGGATGATAACGCAATATTCCTTGATTAATAAATGTATTTAATAGCTACCGTTTTCTGAGTAAAGTATTAAAGTTTTACCTAATTTGTACGCAAAAGGTTAGAACTTCCTGAGAACTAAGAAACATTTCTAGACCAGCAAACAGTACACGTATTACTTCGTAGTTTTCTTATGTAGCAATGAACGAGATAATAAACCATTACTGGTTAGAATTTGGGGATGATTTTAGGAAAATATGACGGAGGAAGTTGTATTCTTAAAATGATAAAATAAATAATGAACAACTTTAAAAGCTCCTCCAACTATAAAAGGCAATGTTACAGATGTTATTCTTAGACGTGCAAAGAAATACTACGTAATTTAAAAAAATAATGCAGTTGCATTATATACATTTTAATAATGATATTTTATAGTATATATCTAAAACTAATTGGAAAATAATTATAAAACTACATCATAGATTTGCATTGGTTATCGTTGGTGTAATTAACAATGACAACGTACTACTTTAAGAAAGAGTACGATGCATCCGAAAATTAAAACATGTAAAGAATAAAATAGCAACCTTGTTTTCCCTTCTTTAGAAACAATATTATCATTCCATATTTTAGAAGCGTAAGTCTCTCAACAAACTCGCTTGCAAAAACAGCAACGATAACAATACGAGCACCAAAAAATAGACGGAAAGAAAAATACAGATAGCTGGAGTAGACATTTTTCATAGCCAGGAAAGTTATATTATCTCGAATTTAGTATCGCAGCGTTTAAGTATTGCAGGGTTTATTGCTTGTCGATGCGGCAGAGACTGTTGTTATTCACTTCAGCAGTGACCTCGAGGAACACAGGATAGTCTTTTCAAATATTCAACTGCGCTGAAAATTGCAAGCAGGTTTGCCAGTGCAGCCCAAGCGACAGACGTAAAACGCAGCGAAGTGCCGCGCGTCTATGTGATGCACCGCGAAGAGGGGTGGAGTGGGCATGGAGAGGTTGTCAGTAGGATGTGGTTTCGCAGAGAGGGGTTGAGGAGAAAGGAAGAGAAGGGCGGTTGGTCTGTCAGAGAGGGAACGTCTGAAGGGATAGGCGGAGAGGAGGCGGTCAGAGTGAGACCGGGAGGAGAGAGAGGTCGATGATAGAGAGCGTATCGATAAGATCGCTTGATGCGTATCGATGATCGCGAGAGCGTATCGATGAAGGGACACAGCGCGAAGAGCGTGCTACGGAGAGCGCGTACCACGGAAGAGCGTGACAAGGAGAGAGCGTGACAATGAGAGAGCGTGACAATGAGAGAGCGTGACAAGGAGAGAGCGTGACAAAGAGAGAGCGTGACAAAGAGAGAGCGTGACAAAGAGAGAGCGTGACAATGAGAGAGCGTGGCAAGAAGAGAGCGTGACAAGGAGAAAGCGTGACAATGAGAGAGCGTGGCAAGAAGAGAGCATGACAAGGAGAGAGCGTGACAAGGAGAGAGCGTGACAAGGAGAGAGCGCGACAAGGAGAGAGCGCGACACGGAGAGAGCGCGACAAGGAGAGAGCGTGACACGGAGAGAGCGTGTCACGGAGAAAGCGTGTCACGGAGAGAGCGTGACACGGAGAGAGCGTGTCACGGAGAGAGCGTGTCACGGAGAGAGCGTGACACGGAGAGAGCGTGACACGGAGAGAACCTGCATGGAAAAAGCATGCCACAGAGATGAGACACAATGAACGACGCAAAAAGAGAGATAGTGGCAAGTACTGCGGGCGTGGCTAGGAATGAGTTGCTTGGCGTGGCGAGGTGCAGTGAGACCGTAGCAAGGGGGGATGAAAGCGCGCCTTAGAAGGATAAGAGCATTCGAGGAGAAATGAGGGCGTGACGGCGTGGAATAAAATTGTTGCGGGGGAGCACGCGCGGATGAGAGCGCCAGATGAAGGACAAAATCCTGACAAAAAGAGGCGGGAACGCGGCCGGGAAGAGCGAGAGCGAAAACACGAGAGCCGCGAGATATTTAGAGGAAATTTTCTTGTCGACAGGCGACCTCCACTCGGAAGGGGTTGGCTGCGAAGAATTGGGGCATATCGCGAGTGAAATCAAGGGATGGGTTGCGTGCGGGCGTAGGGCGGCGCTCGGGAAAATCGGTTGGACGACGAAGCAATCGCGAGGCGGGCGAGGGCGAGGCGAATTGAAGGGGCGAGGCGAGGGGCGAATCGGTTGCCCGAATAAAGCCAACGGTGAATCGAGGCGAGGCGAGGCAAATCGAGGGCGAGGCGAGGCGAGGTGAGGTGAGGTGAAGGTGAGGTGAGGTGAGGTGAGGTAAAGGTAAGGGCGATATCGAATGCGGCGGCGAGGTGATGTGCGGATCGTGGCGGTGTGGTGTGTCGGGCGTCGCTGAAATCTGTTTTCGCAGAGCTGCTCCACCTCGTGCCCCTTTGCTGCGAGTGTCGGGAAGAGGGTGGGAAGGGGGGGCGGGGCGGTGTGTTTCCATTTGCTACGCGTCCGATTGCGCATTTATGAGTCTTTTGATCAGCGCCGCACCTCTCTCCTTCCCTCTCTCTCATCCCCCCTCTCTCTCTTTCTCTGTGCCTCTGGCAGGCAGCAATCGCACTTTCCGCGCCCGCCCTCACCGCCGCCGCGCATAGAATGGGAGGTCACAAGGGAGTGGTGGGTAGGGGTCCGAGGGAGATGGCGGAAGGGCGTAAAGAATGCGCCATGGTGGACGCAGGGAGAAGAGTGCGTTCTGAAACCACAGGGCAATGAACGATAGGTGACAGTGATGGTAGTGTGGGAGGGATGACAGAGTGGTGGGATGGTCGACAAGCAAGCGCGGAAGAGTCAATCATTTTCAATTCATTTTAATGATGGCTTACTTCTCGTGGCGAGACTCACGCAAACAGACTCGCACTCTTTTGCAAGAGGACGCTACGATATTTTGCTACACTCATTTCGCCACCTAGCAGCGAAAGACGGTATCACATCGGCGACAAAAAAGGCGATTAGAATTTAGGGCCTTCTTTTACGCTTGAGGGTATTTCTGACGAGATAAATATACAAAACAATTCAATAGGCGGCTTTTCTTCCTAACTCAAGGAAGACGTGAAATGGATTTTCTCCCTTAAGAATTCCAGGCATAGATCGTATTTGAACATTCGAATTTAGCGGGCGTATCAGCCGGTTGCACGTACAGTGACAGCACCAAAGCTGCTAAAAGAGTGTTGATAAGGAGGCAGGTGACAGGGAGTAGAATACAGTGGGCAAGAGAATTGTGGAAACTAAATTCTGAGGGTGATGACCTGTGGTTCAGAGAGCAGAGCTCCTAATTAAGTTGGGCGAAAATGGAGGCGAACTGCGATAGGTAGAAGGAAATGTAGAGAGTGCGAAATGAGACGCGCAGTTTTTGACTGATCGGTGTCTACGTACGAGAGCCCAGGAAAATGGGTAATCTATTAGCGAAGAATACTTCTAAGAAAAATAAGTTGGAGGGATAGTCGTAAAACGAATGACCGTTTTCACGAAACATGACTTTACTTCCATTTTCAGCCGATGCCTTGGCTTCTCTTGTGGTTTGGCGAGTCTGAAAGCGAGTGACATTGTGACTCACCGGTGACGAGGTTGGCGTGGTGGAACTGGCAGACGGCGTCGGCTTCGAACCACGTGATGCGGTCCCGGAAGTAGCGGTAGAAGACCGGAAAGCCTTCCTGCGGCAGCACCCACGCGTTGGAGATGTTCACCTGCACACACAAGAACGCACCATCACCACACACGCCACCACACATGATTTTAAGACACGTTCTTACACTATCAACAGCTTCATTTCGATAATAGTAGTAGAATTTACAATTATTCGATAGAAGAATTGATGTAATGTTGATTGTACTGGGAGATTCAAAATTGAGGATCGGATCACTAAAGGTCCTAGAGATCGACTGCCATAGTAGTGGTTTTTTAACACTAGCTACATAACTAGGTCGGATTCAGATACTGTCTGCAGAACAACTCTATCGGCCGGCTGATCCTAACGGTAGTTTTAAGTAGTTCTCTATCAATACCCGGTAAGTGGCGGGGTAATACCCTAACAAACGGGCCACGGCCCGCGCGCAATCTTTCCTTCTTCATCCCTGTCCTTGCCTTTTATTTTAAGCACATAAATACTACCACTTCTATAGAAAGCACAAATTTAAAACGAATTTTATTCTAAGTAAAGTTGCTAAAACCGTTAATTAATGAAAAGTTTTAATATCAGAAAATTATCTCTGTTCTCTGGAAGTTTTAAAATCACCCACATAATTAACTTTAGTAAATGTATTGAAAAAATCTGTTTTCAAAACTTCAGCGTTGCGAATTTCTTACGTCTCTGATGTACCTTTAGATAGTAAGGACTCACGATGTATTCAGTGAGAAATTCAATATTCTGCGAAATAGTTCATATTAACAAATAAATATAAAATTATACGGTTCAAGGATAAAACTCTATTACAAACTGAATAAAATGAAATCAAACAAATGAGCCAGAGAGAAGCGCCTATGAACAGATCTTGAACTGGTGAAGAGGCAACTCAATGAGGCCTATTGAAGGACACAAATAATATTCCTTATATGAACGAATTATCATTTTAAATTGTGTTTAAGTGCTGTTTATGCATAAAATTTGTTCACTCAAGGAAACACATTTTTAGGATCAACTGTATGTACGTTCCCATGACACATTTTTATGGATATAAAGACTGAAAATTACACAGAAAATAAATTAAGGACATGGATTAGAAGCTGATATTTCGTGAATCAGTTTCCTTACAAAAAACATGAAATAAAACATAGGTACTTATTTGAACAAGAAATGCATAATATAAAATACGAAATAAAAAAAGTAATATTAAGATGCATTATACTAAATGCAGATTTCAACTTTCCATGTGAAAAGACGTGATGCTTGCTGTTGTTTCTAACGCCAGATAGCGAGACACGAATCTTCAACCGAGGCTACCAAGTTAAAATGAACCCATATAACGTGACACCAGACAGGATTAAACCTCTACCGCACACATCCACTTGACGAAGAAACCTAACCATGGGCGGTCATTTTTTTCCCGGCAGCTAATCACGTTAGCCCGAAGCAAGCGGCCGGGCGGGGCTTACTAATATCCTCTTCTCCGGTCGCTCACCGTTTGAGCGCGCGCCGTTAACTCGGCCGCCCGCCCGGCGCGCACGCTTTGCGGGTTGCCGCCCGGCCCCTGGCAGGGTTGAGCGCGCGCGGCGCTGGCGTGGAGCGGTAGGTAATCCACGTAATTGGCTTTAGATTGGCTAAGTTTCCACCGCCACCCCCGACCTCCCCCCCGCCGCCGCTCGTCATCA